CCAATCTCATTTGGGCTTTACAATAACCAAATAAGCACATTACATATGTGAATACATGAATCATTTTTTACCCCAACCGGGACTTGAACCTAGGATTTATAATTACAAAGTCAAGGCGCTACCAACTACACCACAGAAGGTTAAAAGGAATCCAGCCTAATAGCTTATATATGCTATAGTTAGGAATGAACGCATTCTATCTGAATGCCACTATGTTCATATTACATATTCCCCAACCTCACTCGTGGCTTCATTTTCGTATTTAATTCAATTCCCAATCTCATTCGGGCTTTGCAATAAGCAAATAAGCACATTACATATGTGAAAATATAAATAATTCTTTACCCAGACTGGGACTCGAACCTAGGTTTTATAATTACTAAGTCAAGGCGCTACCAACTACACCACAAAAGGTTAAAAGGAATCCAACCTTATAGCTTATATCTGCTATACTTAGGAATGAACGCATTCTATCTGAATGCCACTATGTTCATATTACAGATTCCCCAACCTCATTCGTGCCTTCATTTTCGCCTTTAATTCAATTCCCAATCTCATTCGGGCTTTACAATAACCTAATAAGCATATTACATATGTGAAAACATGAATAATTTTTTACCCCAACAGGGATTCGAACCTACGACTTCTAAGTACTAAGTCAATGTGCTACCAACTACACCACAGAAGGTTAAAAGGAAATCAACCTTTTAGCATATATCTGCTCTACTTAGGAATGAACGCATTCTATCTGAATGCCACTATTTTCATATTACAGATTCCCCAACCTCACTAATGGCTTCATTTTCGCATTTAATTCAATTCCCAATCTCATTCGGGTTTTACAGTAAGCAAATAACCACATTACATATGTGAAAACATGAATAATATTTTACCTCGACCGAAACTCGAACCTAGGACTTCTAATTACTAAGTCAAGGCGCTACCAACTACACCACAGAAGGTTAAAAGGAACCTAACCTTATTACTTATATCCGCAATACTTAGGAATGAACGCATTCTATGTGAATGCTGCTATCTTCATATTTCAGATTCCCCAACCTCACTCGTGGCTTCATTTTTGCATTTAATACAATTCCCAATCTTATTCGGGCTTTACAATAACGAAATAACCACATTACATATGTAAGAACATGAATCATTTTTTACCCTGACTGGGAATTGAACCTAGGACTTATAATTACTAAGTCAAGGCGCTACCAACTACACCACAGAAGGCTAAAAGGAATCCAACCTTATAGCTTATATCTGCTATACTTAGGAATGAACGCATTCTATCTGAATGCCACTATGTTTATATTACAGATTTCCTAATGTCACTCGTGGCTGCATTTTCGAATTTAATTCAATTCCCAATCTCATTCGGGCTTTAGAATAAGCAAATAAGCACTTTACAGATGTGAAAACATGAATCATGTTTTACTCCGACTGAGACTCAAACCTAGGACTTATAATTATTAAGTCAAAGCGCTACCAACTACACCATAAAAGGTTAAAAGGAATCCAACCTTATAGCTTAAATCTGCTATACTTACGTATGAACGCATTCTATATGAATGCCACTATGTTCATATTACAGATTCCCCAATCTCACTCATAGCTTCATTTTCGCATTTAATTCAATTCCCAATCTCATTTGGGCTTTACAATAACCAAATAAGCACATTACATATGTGAATGCATGAATCATTTTTTACCCCAACCGGGACTCGAACCTAGGATTTATAATTACTAAGTCAAGGCGCTACCAACTACACCACAGAAGGTTAAAAGGAATCCAACCTACTAGCTTATATATGCTATAGTTAGGAATGAATGCATTCTATCTGAATGCCACTATGTTCATATTACATATTCCCCAACCTCGTTCGTGGCTCATTTTCGAATTTAATTTAACTCCCAATCTCATTCGGGCTTTACAATAACCTAATAAGCACATTACGTATGTGAAAACAAGAATCAATTTTTACCCCAACCGGGACTCAAACCTAGGACTTATAATTACTTAGTCAAGGCGCTACCAACTACACCAAAGAAGGTTAAAAGGAATCCAACCTTATAGCTTATATCTGTTATACAAAGGAATGAACGCATTCTATCTAAATGCCATTATGTTCATATTACAGATTCCCCAACCTTACTCGTGGCTTCATTTTTGAATTTAATTCAATTCCCAATCTCATTCGGGCTTTACAATAACCAAATAAGCACATTACATATGTGAAAACATGAATCATTTTTTTATCCTGACCGGGACTCAAACCTAGGATTTATAATTACTAAGTCAAGGCGCTATACGCTACACCATAGAAGGTTAAAAGGAGTCCAACCTTATAGCTTATATCTGCTATACTTAGGAATGAACGCATTCTATCTGAATGCCACTATGTTCATATTACAGATTCCCCAACCTCACTCGTGGCTTCATTTTCGTATTTAATTCAATTCCCAATTTCATTCGGGCTTTGCAATAAGCAAATAAGCACATTACATATGTGAAAATATAAATAATTCTTTACCCAGACTGGGACTCGAACCTAGGTTTTATAATTACTAAGTCAAGGCGCTACCAACTACACCACAAAAGGTTAAAAGGAATCCAACCTTATAGCTTATATCTGCTATACTTAGGAATGAACGCATTCTATCTGAATGCCACTATGTTCATATTACAGATTCCCCAACCTCATTCGTGCCTTCATTTTCGCCTTTAATTCAATTCCCAATCTCATTCGGGCTTTACAATAACCAAACAAGCATATTACATATTTGAAAACATGAATAATTTTTTACCCCAACAGGGACTCGAACCTACGACTTCTAAGTACTAAGTCAACTTGCTACCAACTACACCACAGATGGTTAAAAGGAAATCAACCTTATAGCATATATCTGCTATACTTAGGAATGAACGCATTCTATCTGAATGCCACTATTTTCATATTACTAATTCCCGAACCTCACTAATAGCATCATTTTCGCATTTAATTCAATTCCCAATCTCATTCGGGTTTTACAGTAAACAAATAACCACATTACATATGTGAAAACATGAATAATATCTTACCCTGACCGAGACTCGAACCTAGGACTTCTAATTACTAAGTCAAGGCGCTACCAACTACACCATAGAAGGTTAAAAGGAATCTAACATTATTACTTATATCTGCAATACTTAGGAATGAACGCATTCTATCTGAATGCCGCTATGTTCATATTACAGATTCCCCAACCTCACTCGTGGCTTAATTTTCGCATTAATACAATGCCCAATCTCATTCGGGCTGTACAATAACGAAATAACCACATTACATATGTGAGAACATGAATCAATTTTTACCCCGACTGGGAATTGAACCTAGGACTTATAATTACTAAGTCAAGGTGCTACCAACTACACTACAGAAGGTTAAAAGGAATCTAACCTTATTGCTTATATCTGCTATACTTAGGAATGAACGCATTCTATCTGAATGCCACTATGTTCATATTACAGATTTCCCAACGTCACTCGTGGCTGCATTTTCGAATTTTATTCAATTCCCAATCTCATTCGGGCTTTAGAATAAGCAAATAAGCACATTACATATGTGAAAATATGAATTATTTTTTACACCGACCGAGATTCAAACCTAGGACTTATAATTATTAAGTCAAAGCGCTACCAACTACACCACAAAAGGGTAAAAGGAATCCAACCTTATAGCTTATATCTGCTATACTTACGTATGAACGCATTCTATATGAATGCCACTATGTTCATATTACAGATTCCTCAATCTCACTCATAGCTTCATTTTCGCATTTAATGCAATTCCCAATCTCATTTGGGCTTTACAATAACCAAATAAGCACATTACATATGTGAATACATGAATCATTTTTTACCCCCAACCGGGACTCGAACCTAGGATTTATAATTACAAAGTCAAGGCGCTACCAACTACACCACAGAAGGTTAAAAGGAATCCAGCCTAATAGCTTATATATGCTATAGTTAGGAATGAACGCATTCTATCTGAATGCCACTATGTTCATATTACAGATTCCCCAACCTCATTCGTGGCTTCATTTTCGAATTTAATTTAACTCCCAATCTCATTCGGGCTCTACAATAACCTAATAAGCACATTACATATGTGAAAACAAGAATCAACTTTTACCCCAACCGGGACTCAAACCTAGGACTTATAATTACTAAGTCAAGGCGCTACCAACTACACCAAAGAAGGTTAAAAGGAATCCAACCTTATAGCTTATATCTGTTATACTAAGGAATGAACACATTCTTTCTAAATGCCATTATGTTCATATTACAGATTCCCCAACCTCACTCGTGGCTTCATTTTTGAATTTAATTCAATTCCCAATCTCATTCGGGCTTTACAATAACCAAATAAGCACATTACATATGTGAAAACATGAATCATTTTTTTACCCTGACCGGGACTCAAACCTAGGATTTATAATTACTAAGTCAAGGCGCTACCAACTACACCATAGAAGGTTAAAAGGAATCCAACCTTATAGCTTATATCTGCTATACTTAGGAATGAACGCATTCTATCAGAATGCCACTATGTTCATATTACATATTCCCCAACCTCACTCGTGGCTTCATTTTCGTATTTAATTCAATTCCCAATCTCATTCGGGCTTTGCAATAAGCAAATAAGCACATTACATATGTGAAAATATAAATAATTCTTTACCCAGACTGGGACTCGAACCTAGGTTTTATAATTACTAAGTCAAGGCGCTACCAACTACACCACAAAAGGTTAAAAGGAATCCAACCTTATAGCTTATATCTGCTATACTTAGGAATGAACGCATTCTATCTGAATGCCACTATGTTCATATTACAGATTCCCCAACCTCATTCGTGCCTTCATTTTCGCCTTTAATTCAATTCCCAATCTCATTCGGGCTTTACAATAACCAAATAAGCATATTACATATGTGAAAACATGAATCATTTTTTACCCCAACAGGGATTCGAACCTACGACTTCTAAGTACTAAGTTAATGTGCTACCAACTACACCACAGAAGGTTAAAAGGAAATCAACCTTTTAGCATATATCTGCTCTACTTAGGAATGAACGCATTCTATCTGAATGCCACTATTTTCATATTACAGATTCCCCAACCTCACTAATGGCTTCATTTTCGCATTTAATTCAATTCCCAATCTCATTCGGGTTTTACAGTAAGCAAATAACCCCATTACATATGTGAAAACATGAATAATATTTTACCTCAACCGAAACTCGAACCTAGGACTTCTAATTACTAAGTCAAGGCGCAACCAACTACACCACAGAAGGTTAAAAGGAATCTAACCTTATTACTTATATCTGCAATACTTAGGAATGAACGCATTCTCTGTGAATGCTGCTATCTTCATATTTCAGATTCCCCAACCTCACTCGTGGCTTCATTTTTGCATTTAATACAATTCCCAATCTTATTCGGGCTTTACAATAACGAAATAACCACATTACATATGTGAGAACATGAATCATATTTTACCCTGACTGGGAATTGAACCTAGGACTTATAATTACTAAGTCAAGGCGCTACCAACTACACCACAGAAGGCTAAAAGGAATCCAACGTTATAGCTTATATCTGCTATACTTAGGAATAAACGCATTCTATCTGAATGCCACTATGTTTATATTACAGATTTCCCGTCACTCGTGGCTGCATTTTCGAATTTAATTCAATTCCCAATCTCATTCGGGCTTTAGAATAAGCAAATAAGCACTTTACATATGTGAAAACATGAATCATATTTTACACCGACCGAGACTCAAACCTAGGACTTATAATTATTAAGTCAAAGCGCTACCAACTACACCACAAAAGGTTAAAAGGAATCCAACCTTATAGCTTAAATCTGCTATACTTACGTATGAATGCATTCTATATGAATGCCACTCTGTTCATATTACAGATTCCCCAATCTCACTCATAGCTTCATTTTCGCATTTAATTCAATTCCCAATCTCATTTGGGCTTTACAATAACCAAATAAGCACATTACATATGTGAATGCATGAATCATTTTTTACCCCAACCGGGACTCGAACCTAGGATTTATAATTACTAAGTCAAGGCGCTACCAACTACACCACAGAAGGTTAAAAGGAATCCAGCCTACTAGCTTATATATGCTATAGTTAGGAATGAATGCATTCTATCTGAATGCCGCTATGTTCATATTACATATTCCCCAACCTCATTCGTGGCTCATTTTCGAATTTAATTTAACTCCCAATCTCATTCGGGCTTTACAATAACCTAATAAGCACATTACGTATGTGAAAACAAGAATCAATTTTTACCCCAACCGGGACTCAAACCTAGGACTTATAATTACTTAGTCAAGGCGCTACCAACTACACCAAAGAAGGTTAAAAGGAATCCAACCTTATAGCTTATATCTGTTATACTAAGGAATGAACGCATTCTATCTAAATGCCATTATGTTCATATTACAGATTCCCCAACCTTACTCGTGGCTTCATTTTTGAATTTAATTCAATTCCCAATCTCATTCGGGCTTTACAATAACCAAATAAGCACATTACATATGTGAAAACATGAATCATTTTTTTACCCTGACCGGGACTCAAACCTAGGATTTATAATTACTAAGTCAAGGCGCTATTCACTACACCACAGAAGGTTAAAAGGAATCCAACCTTATAGCCTATATCTGCTATACTTAGGAATGAACGCATTCTATCTGAATGCCACTATGTTCATATTACAGATTCCCCAACCTCACTCGTGGCTTCATTTTCGTATTTAATTCAATTCCCAATCTCATTCGGGCTTTGCAATAAGCAAATAAGCACATTACATATGTGAAAATATAAATAATTCTTTACCCAGACTGGGACTCGAACCTAGGTTTTATAATTACTAAGTCAAGGCACTACCAACTACACCACAAAAGGTTAAAAGGAATCCAACCTTATAGCTTATATCTGCTATACTTAGGAATGAACGCATTCTATCTGAATGCCACTATGTTCATATTACAGATTCCCCAACCTCATTCGTGCCTTCATTTTCGCCTTTAATTCAATTCCCAATCTCATTCGGGCTTTACAATAACCAAATAAGCATATTACATATGTGAAAACATGAATCATATTTTACCCCAACAGGGACTCGAACCTACGACTTCTAAGTACTAAGTCAATGTGCTACCAACTACAAAACAGAAGGTTAAAAGGAAATCAACCTTATAGCATATATCTGCTATACTTAGGAATGAACGCATTCTATCTGAATGCCACTATTTTCATATTACTAATTCCCCAACCTCACTAATGGCTTCATTTTCGCATTTAATTCAATTCCCAATCTCATTCGGGTTTTACAGTAAGCAAATAACCACATTACATATGTGAAAACATGAATAATATTTTACCCCGACCGAGACTCGAACCTAGGACTTCTAATTACTAAGTCAAGGCGCTACCAACTACACCATAGAAGGTTAAAAGGTAACCTTATTACTTATATCTGCAATACTTAGGAATGAACGCATTCTATCTGAATGCCGCTATGTCCATATTACAGATTCCCCAACCTCACTCGTGGCTTAATTTTCGCAATTAATACAATGCCCAATCTCATTCGGGCTTTACAATAACGAAATAACCACATTACATATGTGAGAACATGAATCATTTTTTACCCCGACTGGGAATTGAACCTAGGACTTATAATTACTAAGTCAAGGTGCTACCAACTACACTACAGAAGGTTAAAAGGAATCCAACCTTATAGCTTATATCTGCTATACTTAGGAATGAACGCATTCTATCTTAATGCCACTATGTTCATATTACAGATTTCCCAGCGTCACTCGTGGCTGCATTTTCGAATTTTATTCAATTCCCAATCTCATTCGGGCTTTAGAATAAGCAAATAAGCACATTACATATGTGAAAACATGAATTATGTTTTACACCGACCGAGATTCAAACCTAGGACTCATAATTATTAAGTCAAAGCGCTACCAACTACACCACAAAAGGGTAAAAGGAATCCAACCTTATAGCTTATATCTGCTATACTTACGTATGAACGCATTCTATATGAATGCCACTATGTTCATATTTCAGATTCCCCAATCTCACTCATAGCTTCATTTTCGCATTTAATGCAATTCCCAATCTCACTTGGGCTTTACAATAACCAAATAAGCACATTACATATGTGAATACATGAATCATTTTTTACCCCAACCGGGACTCGAACCTAGGATTTATAATTACTAAGCCAAGGCGCTACCAACTACACCACAGAGGGTTAAAAGGAATCCAGCCTAATAGCTTATATATGCTATAGTTAGGAATGAACGCATTCTATCTGAATGCCACTATGTTCATATTACAGATTCCCCAAACTCATTCGTGGCTTCATTTTCGAATTTAATTTAACTCCCAATCTCATTCGGGCTCTACAATAACCTAATAAGCACATTACATATGTGAAAACAAGAATCAATTTTTACCCCAACCGGGACTCAAACCTAGGACTTATAATTACTAAGTCAAGGCGCTACCAACTACACCAAAGAAGGTTAAAAGGAATCCAACCTTATAGCTTATATCTGTTATACTAAGGAATGAACACAATCTTTCTAAATGCAACTATGTTCATATTACAGATTCCCCAACCTCACTCGTGGCTTCATTTTTGAATTTAATTCAATTCCCAATCTCATTCGGGCTTTAC